CTTTTCGCGGCGCCGTTAAACTTCCTCCTCCTCTGTGTGCCCACCGGAAAATCCTTTCTTCTCACCATCTTCCTCTCCAGGTACTTGTTTTTTTACAGCAACTGATGCCACATTTTGTCGAAATGATTTTCCCCTAATTTATGTTGATTTTCTCATGCTGTTGTATGGTTTAGATGCTTGTTTTCTTACTGTTATAAATTGGGTCTTCAGCTACTGAAGCAATCGCGTTCGTCTTCTTCTGGCAGCAGTAGTAATGTTAATTCTCTTAAGGTTGCCTCGCCTGCGAGGTACCTCTGTTTAGTTCAATTAGATGATAAGTGCCTTTTGAATCTTGTTGCCTTATTTTGATTTTTCTTTTTTTATTGAAGTATTTGGGTTTGTTTGAATTTCGATTTGGCAGCAGTGCAGCAACAGAATTAGCCGACATTGATTGGGACAACCTCGGTTTTGGGATTATGCCCACCGATTACATGTATGTCATGAAGTGTTCCCAAGGGGATACCTTCTGTAAAGGCGAGTTGCAACGATTTGGGAATATTGAGCTGAGCCCATCGGCTGGCATTTTGAATTATGGGCAGGTTTGTTTCTGTTAGTAATTGTTTCAATATCAAATTTCTCTGAAGTAATGTGTTTGGTTCTTGAATTCTCATTTTGCCCAATCTTTTCGTAACTGTAACTTTCGAATTGTAGGGCTTGTTTGAAGGCTTAAAAGCTTATAGAAAGAGTGATGGCAATATTTTACTTTTCCGTCCCGAGGAAAATGCCCAAAGACTTAGAATGGGTGCGGAACGAATGTGCATGCCTGCTCCGAGTGTGGAGCAGTTTGTGGAAGCTGTCAAATCTACTGTTTTAGCAAATGAAAGATGGGTAATGATTTGATTCAGTGTTGTTGTTTTGTTTTATTCGGTGTTGTTATGATTTGAACTCACTATACTATTCAAATGCCAACCCTCAGATTCCCCCGCCTGGTAAAGGTTCTTTGTATATACGACCATTGCTTATGGGGAGTGGCGCTGTTCTAGGCCTTGCACCGGCTCCCGAGTACACTTTTTTGATTTATGTTTCTCCTGTCGGAAACTATTTCAAGGTAAATGGCTTTTCTTGTGCATGCCTTAGCAGTGGTGGTGAATGTATTTACCAGTGCTAATAACGTTTATCTTCTTATTAAATGATATGGTTCTGCTTTGATTCTGCTCTTTATCCTCTTTATAGTTTGTGATAAATGGGTTATGCTGGAAAATACTTGGATGATCTGTCTGTTTGATGTGTTCATTTACTAATAGAAATGATGAATAATTATATGAATGATTTCATAGACAACATTTATACCTTCTCTCTGCATGAGGTAAATCATTTTATCTACCGCTCTGTGCTGTTCATAATATTTTCTATATCCATGTACAAAGTTTGTCTGGGGCCTAATGGTATTATGAGGCAGTTATATTTGTCTGTTCTGTTTCCAGGAAGGTTTGGCCCCAATCAATTTGATAGTCGAGACTGAATTGCATCGAGCAACTCCTGGTGGTACTGGAGGTGTCAAGACTATAGGAAATTATGCTGCTGTGGGTGACTTGTTCATATTTATTCATTTTTTTTGGTCTAGAAACCATTATATATGCCTTTGCTGTTTACATAGCAATCTTCCTTTACACCATTTTTGTTTACCCTATATAATTTTTTTGTTTTCTGTTTTCTTTAAACATGAGAAATGAAATTCATGTTTGCCGATTAGCTATTCATTTCTACAGTAAAAGGATTTATGTACTAGGATCTCCCTTGTTTAACCTTATTTCATTCTGCTTACTGATGTCTAAAGTTTTGGGTTAGCAAATTATGTAAATATCTTAGGTGAATCTCCATTGCACTCAGTTTTTTGGATCTTTTTGTTATTTATGCTGTCAAACTCTTGCGTAATTTGGTGGACAACATATAGGTTCTACAAGCACAGGGTGCCGCAAAAGCAAAGGGCTATTCTGATGTTCTGTACTTAGATAGTATTCACAAAAAGTACTTGGAAGAAGTATCCTCCTGCAACGTGTTTGTTGTAAAGGTATGCTGTCTTCTATTTAACTTACAATGTTTTAGTGCATCTTTCTTTCACTGAGTTAAAACTTGGTACACTTTGATGTTTGACTTTGCATTAGCTGCTCCTATGTTCTTTT